GCACTGCACAAAGAACTCTTTACCGTCACCAGTTGAACGCCAGGTACTGAGTCAGGTGCGACGCGGCGCGGCGCGGGCGCCCACCAGAGCTTCGCCCGCAGCCCGCCAGAGGCGCCACCGTCGGCACGGGCACGCCGCGACCGGGGGGAGCCCCCGCTGACTGCTGGGCGTTACTGCTTATTAGCGCGTATACTGTGTACAATCGATTTATATCAGTTATAGCTACGCGCGGTACCAATTGGGTATCGAGCTGGGTGGTCTGGTGGATGTAGAAAGTGGACGAACTTGTTGAATTAGCTGCCAGCTTTGCAGGATATCGAGCTGTCGAGGAAGGGTTGTATGTTCTTTATGCATCGACGATCATCAGGACTTGGTACTGTGCAGGGAGCGTGCGCCATTGCTCGCTGTAAGTGTATTACACATTAGTAAATAATGTCCCTGCCATTACTTTCAAGTAGCGACATTTGGGTGGACAATTAGCTTGGCCCAAACAAAACATTCTTGGAAGCTAATCCAGAGATCGAAAAGCCTGAGAGGATATGAAGTGAGCTTCAAATCTGACCTGTGGAGTCAGAACCTGTTCTTTTTCCTGGCAAAAGTGTTTTGGCTTACAGCCTTGAAGTATAGCTATGCTGTTATGCATACACAGACTTGTCTGTGTAGCATTAAATTTGATCTAAATGCGATTGTTGCCCCAATTCCCGTCAGAAATGATCTAAATTCTAAAAAGAGGGGAATCCGATGGCTTACCATAAAGACCATTTTTGCGGATTATAATGGCGTTGAGGCTGAGACCTGAGTACACAGCATATTTTAGTTGCTTAGTAAATAACCGGATGCACTGAGTTCATGAGTCACACTCGTTTTGACTGGCGGTACTGCTTCATTGCACATATGATATGATATATTTGATAACTGCATGATAAGGGGGAGAGAAGGCTGGGCCCTTCTCGCTGTGTTTGCGCGGGATACAAATCATTAGGCTGCACACGAACATCGGCGCCCTTCGGTCGCCGTCTTTTATCAGCAGGCAGCCAGCTTGCTGGCATTTTTCGGCTTCCCATTGGTCGAATTTACATGGCCTGTTGTGCGGTTCACCAATAAGAGGCTAAGAAACGCCAGCAATGAACCTCCACATATGGTAAAATCATCAGCGTGCTGATTCAAAAGGAAAGTGAGCTCGAACAAGGCTATGAAAGTACATACTACATAGTTATGTAGAGAATAGAGATTCTATTTATGTCTGCTTCTTTCTTGGTCAGCCGGTTCAGACCTTTTACAGCCAATCATATACACTTTATTTCACCAGCTGACAGGCTCTCCATTTCACCTTATATAGTCTGTCTTATACAAATTTCCTCGACTTAGCATCCTACACATTTCGAGGCGGGCCCTCAGTATATTTCACCACTCCGCTTCTAGATCAATGTCAAAGCACAGTACATCACCCCATCACGTTTAATGACGAATCATCACGTTACCTGACGGCGCGGTGCGTGGTTGTGACGTCACAATCACAGTGTGACGTCAGCACGAGCCCCCATTGGGCGGCTGGCCGGCGCGGTGGGCCGTCGGTCAGCTGTTTAGGTTTAGGTCTCGCGCTTCAGGCTAGTACAAATCGGTGGATGGCGATTCTCTCGCCGTGGACACTTGTAACGCTAGTGGCGGGCGTTTGAGTGATAAGGAGATATGATGTGTGTATCTGTGTCCGTGTCTTTGTCCTCGGTGATTGGTCTATTGTCAGGGATAGGTCTCCATCAGTGACGCGTTTTGCCAGTCGGCTGTTTTTCCTCTTGGCTCTGCACCTGTCCAAAGTATCTTATTTTATTGTCCGTCGAAGCCCTATTGTATGTCGTTCCTGTGGAATTTGCATCATTTCTATTTCTCTCCATGTTCCTTGCTTTCCGAGCCTCCTCCCTTCGTCTCTACTGATTCGTCGCTACTAAATTTCTTCTCAGCTGGCTGGCGATGTCGGTTTTGTGCCTTACCAGCGCGCGGCGGCGCCGTAGCGTCCGTGTCTAGCGAATCACCGTCGGGAGAATCATGCAATCTCATTAGCGGCTGCCGGCCGGGCACCCAGCCGCTCCAGAGTGGGGCGTCCGCTCGTTCTCTCGCCGTCCGTCGCACTCTCGCAAGTTCCGTATCTATTTACCGAGACACGTTGTATGTTGTTGGCCGGGCGGCTGGTGTCTACGAACTGTTGAAGGGGCGATGGGCAGTCGTATTCGCTCTGTACGGATATATTGCGGTAGCATATGTCGCTCCGCCGTCTGGAACTGATGAGAAGCCGGCTGGCGCAGAAGTAGTGGTTGTGTTCTCACTCGATGTACAGTGCGGTGATGCTCGCATTTGTCCGGTAGTGATGAAGCCGTATTTTGTATAGTGGCCGCTCAGTGCTGATTGTTGAGTGAGCGGTGCGCTTACGACAAAAAATAAAACCGATTTCGGTATATAAGACGTTATTTCAATTTAAAATCGCTTCTAGGTGCTCTGTAGATTATCTTATGCGGGAAGTGAGCGTCATTTCTGTCTAGCGTAAGACTTGAAATGTCCGATGCGCAGTGTCTTGAATATATTGTTACAGTGGTTTTTCATAGGCATGCCAGCCTTTTTCTTGGGCTAGCATGCGTCGTTAAACAACTGTAGCCGTCGTAAAATATTGTCTCGGTACTGTTGCCATCGGTTCGCGTTTGCCAACTCCGCTGTCGGGTACGTCACTGTCTGATCCAGACCAGACACAGACCAGCAGACCAGACCCCAGTGGACTGACCGTCTGACTGACATGTAAAACGTAGGACCTCTGGTCCATCGTATATTCCGACTCATTGGACAGATACACAGACAAACGGCGCGTGTGTGTTGCCATGGTGACCGAGCTGGCATTTCAGGTGGTCGGGAGCACGTGAGTATCGTGCTCTGAGCACAGTGCTCTACTCTGTGTTCCCCTCTACTCTGCCGCTCGGCGCCACTGTGCTCACTCTCTAGTTCTCTCAGTCTAGTTTATAACATATTGCTATCTAGTTAGTCTTTATACACTTTACTGACTCGCTCCATACATATACTGTGGCCGTGTTTCATGCCCTGCTACACAACTATTCGTATCATAGATGTATGATAGGTATCGTTTGCCTGCCGATCCATCTATTCCGTTGTTTTTAATAGTGGTTATATTCCTTGAAATTATTGTGCAACAAACCATTGTCAACGAAACCTGACCTGCATCCATTATCGTACCTGAAAAGATATTCGTGTTGTGTTTGGTTGTGGTCAGTATTAATGCGTATATTTTTTTTATTGATTTCGGTGTGCTATTGTAAAGGCTCATTAGTCATGGTTGTAGTACCAACCCGAAGTCTTTACCCACTCTGCGTGTTTGTTTTCATTTATACAGTCCTTTGTCGTCGTAGGTCACTCTCACTTACCTTGACATCATGTCTCTTTTAGATAGCTTATTTCGGTTTTCATAGTTTACATATGCCTTACTTGGAAGTGCAATTTCGTGCCTAAGCATTCGTCGCACTATGTCTTTGCCCGGTTGCGAAGATAAAAATTTACGTCCCTGTGCCCCGTAGAATGATATATTTCATCAATATTTATCAATCAAATTTCAGTACAAGTTGTAAGCATTATCTGCCACGCCGTAATGTTTATCGACAAATATCTAATCGTGTCTGTTTTGCAGGTGCGATTGCGCGATGATTTAGGAGCTGCCCACCGGCGTCCACCATTCTGCCAGCCGACACACCAGCCTCTGCACAGCCGCCGACCGCCCGTACACGTCGGTCCTGATTCGTCTGATCGTCCAACGGCCGTGGAAACTCACGACCTGATGGAGGTGACCACAGTCGGTTACGGCGGCCGGAGGTGACGTGTGACGTCATCATCGGTCACAGCGTGTGACGTCATCGTCGGAGGTGGTGTGTGACGTCATCGCCGGAGATGATGTGTGACGTCATTACCGGAGATCGCGAGTGCTGTGTGCGTGAGGTCATCTTCGGAAGGCGGTGTGTAGCGTTAACTACACCGGGTGTAATCTTACACCACACCGTAGTGCAATGTTACACAAGTGAGCGTCATACTACTGTGACTGCGAGGCTGACCGGCAGAATATGTGTGATTGAACTCTGAGCGAGCATGATGGCGGCACAAACTGAACAGCGGACAGTGGACACACCCGCCGCCTGACCTGAGAGGACACGTGCGCGCGACGTGTGACCGGTGCACGTGCGCACGCGGCACGGAGCAGTGTGATCTGAGCGGGCCTGCCGAGGCCGGGCCGGCAGACAGACAGACATACAGACCAGTGAGCCGCCCCGGCGCCGGCCCGGCGGCCTATTTATTACTGTACATACAGCAATAGCAAGATGGTGTTGGGATCGTATGCGAACTGCCCGACTCGGCCCTGTTGCCTTCGTTCTGCCGCCGCCGCCCGGCGTCTTGTGTACAGAATCCGACGACCGGTGGCGAGCCTTTTAAATTCTGAATGGTTTTAGCCGTGTTGATATCAATTGCTTCCGCGCTTTGCATAATAGCGTAGGCCCGTTAGAATTGACGCCGCCGCCGCTTTGGCGTTCGCGTGAAAATACCAGCACATTTATTATTGTTATTGTTAAAAGTACAAAGAGTTTGGTCCGTCGCGCTGGTTGCTGGTGGGTGTTTGGCGCCGCCCGGCCGCAGGTGGCGCTGCCGGCGCGCCGCAGGTGGCGCTGTCGGCGCAGTAGTTGGCTGTTCTGCCCGTCCGAGCGCAACGCGCCGACCCGTCGGCCGCCCCTCTGCCTTCTCTCGCTCACCAAGGGAGCAGCGCCCCCCGGCCGCGCCGTCCTGTATATGCAGCGTAACAGTGTTTCAAGAATAAACTGGTATTTTGTAAACAACGACGGTGTTTGTATTGATATGGATATACGTGGGAAGTGGTGGTTTAACCTTTGAAAAATCGTGATCTGTTCATGGTTCATACCGTTCATACTATCTTCGTGAAGTAAGTATCGGAAACGCCCAAACAGATAATCCTGCGTTTATTTACTGGCTTTGTATCTTTGTGGCCAAGCGTGACACAGCACAACTGTTCCTCGTAAAGTTTCACATTTAACGAACTTTTGGGAGGCATAAACATTGCACGATCACATCACCATTCATGCACCCACACGAGCTATGTGGCAGAGTGATAGCGGGCTAGTATAAACGAACCGAGAACGAAATGCAAAAAAAAGAGAAAAAACGGTTCTACCCGCATTCCCTCTATTTTCCCTCCTAAGCCTGTCTCCCTAGCAGTCGCTGCCATCCCTTCACATTTTCGCATAATCATGCCACGACTTCTAGCACCTCGACAAAATTGTACACACCGACACCCATAATCTCATCACAATTACGAGTCACCAGCATCAAGCACGCTACGAATCCTTCTGTAAGCGACCGGTCAGGTTATGCGTCTGCGGAAAATCACATTTATAACAACACCTTTCGAGAGTGAAACATTGCGGGGACACATTTTTACTCGCATGGAAACTCAGCCATCTTGGCAGTCGGTAGCATCTCGGTAGTCATCTGTCTAACGGCAGCGTTGATGTCCAACAGAGCCGAATCGGAACTCAGTCATCGTCACTGATTTCGTACCAGGGTCGGTCGGACCGTCTTGGGCGAACTCCGTTCTCAGGCATCTGACAAAAAAAAAACACTTATCAGTATTTCACAAAGCCTAAACAGTCAGCAAGAGCATGAGCAGACTGAAAAATTCACTACACAAGCGCAATATCGCCCCTTACTCGTAGAAATGAGAGTCGAGGCTTGAGTAAAAAGGTACCGTTGCATTTTATGGTTTGTCATCAACTGGTATGCAAAACAGGCATCAGGACTCACCAATTTTGTGTGGCCGAGAGGCGCTGGTGCTGGAGCTCCCTCGGGTCTCTGCGACTTCTGTCCAGTGCCCATCGGCTGTCCTACTGCTCCCACTTTCCCGCCCGCCGCGTCACCTGGTGACTGATCGCCACCGCCACCTAGCGGCCGCATGGTGGCGCCACCTGCGCCAGCTGGCGGAGGCAGGTGTCTGGCAGACTCTGTGACTGATACGTCCGAGGCGGGCGCCTGGGTCGACTCTGTATGGCTGGTCTCGCTCGCAGCCGGGCTGTGGCGGCCCGCCAACACAACAGAAGCGCTGGAGGCAGGTCGACTGGCGGCTCCTCGCAGCCCTGCGGCCTGATCGCTGACTCCTGCTGTTTCACTGCCAGTAACCGTCTCAGGACCTGTCGTACTCTGACGGCCGGGTGGGCGGTACGGAGGCTGACCACCACTCAGCAGCGGCCGGCCGGGAGACGAGCTCTGCCGGGAGCGGCGGGATACCGCTGAGCGGGACGACTCGGATGCACTATCGGCATAGGTACTCACACACACAGCGGTAAACAGATCTGCCGTACTATCCCCGTCCAGGAACCGGCTCTCTCCGGCAGCGTCGCAGGGCTCGGCCGCGGGTCGGACCTCACCCTGACTATGTCTCGACTCTCGGCTGACTCGGCCGTTCTCAGAGGGAGCGGCAGAGCGGGGAAGGAGTAGCGGAGGAGGGTCGTCAACCGTCTCCTCCTGGACGCTCTCTTGTACTGAGAGCGTGTCATCCCTGGTCTCACTCGAGTATGTCTCCCTGAAGTCCACTGCAGTGATTTCCTGACCTGGCCGAGCTGGTCGATCCCGCTTCTTCGGTGTCCAGCGAGCCCGGATGCTGAATTTCTGAAGGAAGCTTCGCTTCTTTCCTGCGGTGGCTGCGTCGCCAGCGGCAGCTGCGGCGGAGGGGGTGGTGTTCCCCAACTGGAACAGCGGTAGGTCTGGTTTCTCTGGAGACGCCTCGTCACTGTCCTCGCCCGGATCGCGCCAGTGTCGCGTGCCCTGGAGTATATCCGGTGCAGAGAGGATCGGTACGGAACTGGGAGGGGTCGGATGCTCAGGGACGGTCTGGGAGTCTCCACCGGTCCCTGTCGATCTCTCCCGACCGGAGGAGCTCTCGGTGCCAGTCTCGCGCCGCACGCGACCGGAGCGTCTGGTTCTGTCGCCTCTCCCGGTCCTACCCCGGCGCTCAGAGCCATCTGTGTCCCTACAGCGGCCCGGTGACGCGGTCCTGAGCGACGCCCTCCACTGGGCTGGCTGTGGCGCTGGTTCTGTTTCCATTGTCTGCCGCTGCGAGCCGTCATCATTTCCATTACTGTCACAATGAACAGCATCGCCATTGACCGTTATACAATCATCATCCAGCCAGTGCAGATCTCCCTCCCCAGAGAGATCAGCTGACTCCCCCGCCTCCCCGGCCGAGTCTCCCTTCCGTGGGGGAGGCGCCGAGCGCGCTCTCGCCCTGCGCTGGGCCTCCACCTCTCTCCTCACCAGATCCTCTGCACTGCCTGCTTCGCTGCCTGAGGGTTCAATGACATCGAGCACCGCTGCTGAGCCGGACTCGGATACTAGAGCCAGCTGTCGCAGCCGACGCCGCAGCTCGGCTCGAGCCAGCGCTACGCTCTCGTTCCCCGATGGAGCGGGACGTCGGCGCGGAGAGGTCCCCTCGGACCAGTCCAGACTGCGACTCAGTTCGAAGGGTGGCCAAAGAGCCCCTTCACCGTCCGCAGGGAAAGAGTCTGGGAGGGTGGAGCGCTCGATAGGATCGGCGCTCTTTCCGCGTCGCTCAAGGTGAGCAGAGGATCGCTGGGAGCGGCGCCGGGAACCCAGATCACGCCGGGAGAGTCTGCTGCCATCTACCGACAGAGCCTGGAAGCTGGAGTTGATCGGTCCGCCGCTGACGCCGCTGTCGAAGCTCCTGTCCAGGCTGGCTTTGGCCGGAGTCGAGGTCCGCTCTGAAGACACTGTGGCCGGCGCTGGGTAAGTTGGGACTCGGTCGGTAGAGTAGGGGTGGTGAGGGGTCGGGGGAGGGGCGCAGCCGGGCGGTCGGGGCGGCGGGGTCGGCGGCGTCCCCTGGAGCAGCTCCACCTCGATCAGAGAGTCCTCGTCCGAACAGGAGAAGGCACTGCTGTCCAGAGGTCGTCCCGGGGCCGCCTGGGCGCGGATGTCACCGATCTTGTTCCTGCAGTACAAACATGGTGTCAGTGAGTGCTACAACAAATACGTCAAACCTGAAACCAACGAGATTAACCCTCGCCCGCACATGCCATTTTCCCATCCTAGAACGCACATGGGGGGGGGGTGGTTGCCACCCCCCCCCCCCGCGCCATTTCGTTCCTGTTGGAGATAGAGCTTAGCAGTAAAGACCAAAAAGATTCTTTGGGAAGAGACGAATCCAATGATACCCAGTTTTACCTTCTCAGGTCAGTCATTGACCTTCCAGGTCAGGTCAAACTAAAAAATGTTGCTGTTTTTGGTCACCGTTGGATATCAAGTGCGCTGCTTATCAAATACCGATGACGATGCTGTTTTCTGGTGCCAAGCCAGCTAGAATCTCTTTGTCACACTATCCGACCAGAATTTTGCTGCTGAGGTCATTTCAGGTCAAGTTAGGTCAAGGTCAATTATATGTGTTTGTATGTCTGTGTGTGTCTGTGTGTATACTAATGTGTGTACCGATTGTTTTTGGGTCCATATCACATGAAATCATGATCTGAGAAGCTTTTACCAAAAATGCGGTCAAAAAACTTCACAAAAAGTAAATTCAGCTTGCCTAAAACGCAATTATCTTAGATGACCTAGGTTGACCTTGACCCTGACCTTGACCCCTGTACATCGTCGAACAACATGTTCCATGATAGGTGGGAGGTAAGACTGGCAAAAAAGGCCGAAATCAGGGTGTCAAAAGCTCACAAGGCCCATGGCAAACGCAAGATGTTGAGAATAGGCCATTTGGGTCATGACATGACCTGAAAAACAAGGTCATATCTCCGAAACCAAAAATCACAGAAACTTGAAATTTTCAGTGGACATCAAGAAAGGATAGACGAGCAGCTATACGAAAAATCAGCCTTCTAGCTCTAAAAATGTTGAGTGCAGAGCAGAAAGACTGCCTGGGGGGGGGGTGGCAACCACCCCCCCCCCCATGTGCGGGCGAGGGTGTATTAGCGGACACTTCACAGAAAACATCAATCATTAGCATCGCCACATGAATATCGTACATGTAGCTTTTGGGTGGTCCTGGCGTGATATGCATTATGCATGTCCATCGATCAGTAATGCGTTATGCAAAAGTGCTCTAAAAGGCATTGTTTGTCAGCAAAGGCGTATCCACATTCCTAATATTGCCTACTACAGAGTCTGGTTGACACCTTGCCCTTTGAGTTCACAAGTCCAGATCATAATTCATGCTGTTATCCCGAATGATCTCTGAAGAGAAGTCGCCGAGTGCATCAGTCCCTGACCTCAGTATACCAGTCCCTGACCAAAGTACATCAGTCCCTGACCAAAGTACATCAGTCCCTGACCTCATTACGCCAGTCCCTGACCTCATTACGCCAGTCCCTGACCTCAATACGCCAGTCCCTGACCTCAATACCTGACTTCAGCACACCAGTCCCTGACCTCAGTCCACCAGTCTCTGACCTCAGTCCACCAGTCCCTGACCTTTGTTTTGTTGTTTTGTTGGGTTAGGCCCTTTCGGTCGACAAGAGCATTGCAGAGCCGGAAGGATGATAGGAATTAGGGGGAGACATTGGTCTGGGCAGGCACCCTAGTGAGTCGCCGGGGCTGAGCCCGTCCAGAGGACAGGCCACCCAGCCCCAAGGCACTCACTGCACCCGGCTACGAGGTGCGCTCCCTCAGGAGCAGCGGTGCCGCTCCAAGGGAGCAGCCCGCATGAGATAAAGTTGCCTGTCCAGCCCGGAGGGGGGTTGCGGCGTGGAGGAGAAGGATTTCAGTATCCTGAGGATAGAAGCACGGATAAGTGAGTCCCTGACCTCAGTCCCTGACCTCAGTCCACCAGTCCCTGACTTCAGTCCACCAGTCTTTGACCTCAGTACAGCAGTCCCTCCCTGCCACGTCCCACCCACCTGACGATCTCCTGAGCCTCCGTCAGCGGCTGGGCGGGCTCCTTTCTGGACGCCCTGAGCCGGTGCCAGGCCGTCTCCGCCACTTGAAGTCGACTCTGGCTTTCGCACAGCGCGGTCTCGGCGACCGGGACGCTGCACTGCTGCCACCTATCTAGCAACGCTGACAACTGCTCGGCCAGCTGGGCGGGGTCCGTCTCCCCCAGCTGCGGCTCGTCGGGCTCAGCTGCCGGGTCGGCCTCCTGCAGCTGCCTGCGCAGCTGGTGTCGCTCGGCAGCCGCCAGCTGCAGCTGCCGCAGCAGCCGCTCCTGCAGCAGCTGCCAGTCGTCCCGCAGCTGGCGCAGCGCGGCGTGCATTTCAGCGCGCTCCCTCAGCAGCCGGCGGGCCACAGACAGCACCTCCCTGCGACACACCGAGGGTGGGGGTGAATATTATAAAACAGCGCCTCCGGCCTCGGATATATAATGAGTGACACAGACAAACGTGCGGGAGAAGTCACAAATAGTTCGACGTGAAGACGGCACACGGATTCGATTAGAAACGTTTATCTTACATAGGGCTGCAGAGTCATACTGGTAATACTGAGGCAAGCGCTCAGGAACGTTGCAGGCGGCGGAGAAAAGCGGTCAGCGGACTCGGTCGTCATTAAGGCCGGGCAAAAATGGAGCATTTCTAACGTTATGAGCCTTTTGGGGGGAGAAGCACGGTCATGGAAAAAATAAAGGTGTTTTTAGCTTAGCAAAGGTTTCCAGAGGCAATTCAGTTACATTCATGAAGCAATTCAATTATTTGTCGTGGGATACTGATAAGCGATATGTAGCTGATAATCATATTTCCTTTGGTGCGTTCGAGTGGAATGCTAAATGCATTGATCTTTTCCTCAGTCGATTTATCTCACTGTTGCAACTCTAATCGACATCGATTACTCCCAAAGCTCCCCTGAACTCCGATTTCCTCTGTCGGGAGAAGCCGATTTCCGGCACTGCACTGACCGGAAGTTGTCCTTGTAGTCGGCGTTGTCTCGACTGAGTCGCGCTGCCTCGACCTCGAGACTGCAGAAGTCACCGGCCAGGTCGGCCAGGGTCTCAAAGGTCAGCAGGTACTCGGCGCATGCGTGGTGACCCGTCTGAGCCGCCACGTCGTACGGCTTCAGACCGCAGGCGTTCTGAAGAAAGAGTAGAGGGACAGTGATCTAACTGATCTTCAGCTCTACGCATTACGCAATGGGTAAGAGCAAACATACCTACCTATTCACGGTTTTCGGTAGATACTGTTGGTAAAGTCACGTCGCCCATGTGTCAGTAGATGTGTGATTTTCATCGTTGCTGCAATGGCGAATTGTGGAGGCCAGCCTGGGCGATATGCAGTCATACCTAATGCACTTTTACAGTACCGTCTAGTGCCTTTGTTGTTCTAAATGCAGTTATGCGGCACTGTCTTTGTTGCAGTTGCAGAACTTGTGTCAATCCAAGGTCAGGGAATTAGTGCTCGAACGGCAAAAGTGTACAGTACAGATAACGGTGGCATTTCGCCTGTTTCCCTCTTCGACAGCTGAGGCATGTCTCACCGTTCACCGATGTTGGGAACGGTGAGTTGCCGGTGCTGGGAGAAAAGGGAGGGAGGGGAGGGGCACACCTGCGAAGGATCACTTCGTGAATAAGTGACCGTAGCATAAAGTTCAAAAACAGCAAGGAATCTTAGGGCAGAGTGTTTCTTCAGCTTCGCCAAAGGCATTTATGTGCATGATTTAGCATTATTAGCATAAAATGCATTAGGGTGCACCTGATCTCTAAAGACGACTAGGCAATAGTCACTTGGCCATATCGATGTTTCCATCCTAGCCCTATCGACTTCGCCTAGAGCAGCATTCTCATGTAAAACTCAGACTTATCCGTCGCCTTTCTTCCGAGCACTTCCTCCTTACCCCCCCCCCCCCCCGCACCTACCCGGGCGGTGACGGCGGCCCCCCTGTCGAGCAGTGCCCTGCAGACCAGTGTGTTTCCCGCTCCGGCCGCCAGGTGGAGGGCAGTGTCACGACGTCGGTCTACGCCTTCCAGGTGGGCCCTGTGTTGCAGCAACCGGTCCGCACACCAGCTGGCGATCTCCACCTGGCAGCAGAGAGATATCAGTGACGTCATAAAGGGGAGGGAATGAAGGGCGCAGCGAACAGTGCACGGTACGATTTGCATTTTACATTTTCCATGTTCTGGTTTGTTTCATGAAACATTCTGAGCATTTCTTACGTGGTTGGATTTGCTTGTATTTCGCCATTTGATTCGGCAAGTGCCTCAGTAAAGGACGCCATTTAATTGCGTCCCAGAAAAGCTATTTCTGGCACCTAAAAGCTGACTCGCCCCAAAATTGGTCCTCAGCTTCTATTTGGTGGATACCAGCACCAATCATGGAAAATGACCTTAATTAGCTGTTTCTGGCACCTATCCATCGGTACGCCTTACTCTTTTTTCTGAATCTGGCACCTAAATGCTGAGCGTAGCACCAATCTAGTAGAAAAATGAACTACTGGCTGGTAGAATCATGTTGTTCTGGTATAATGACCCCTGGAGTCTAGCCTAAAGGTTGCCAGTGCAGCTACACTCTAAGACAGCCCCGTAGTGATCTCAGCATTGTATATGACGTTTAAGTAAGCAAATAATATTAATTTGTTTGAAAAAAACAATGTCATTTAAATATTTAAAAGTATTTATTTGTAATGCTTAAAGGGAAACATTTTTGTGAGTAATTGTCTCGATTTTGACCATTAAAACGGGTATTGTATTTTTTGACGTCATCAAATAGCTCCAAAAAAGAAATGTAATGTTTTCATTCCGTTCAAGGCCGCTGAAGAAACGCGGGATCTTGCGTGGGACATTGTCCGTTGTTTGCCGCGCAGAGTTGTGCCGTGGTTGTGCCTTTTTCATCCGTTTCTTACGTATGGCATATGTGTGCATGAAGCTTTGATTTTGTTTTTGGTTATTGTGTGGCCGGTGAGTCAAACGCCCCTGTAGAAACCGGATGCTGCCTTTGATCGAGATGGAGTCAGACGATGATTGCAGAAAGCTAATAATATTGAAAAGAGGGCCGGTTGCGTGGCATGTCTGTTCAGAGTTGACATTTTGCTTTACTCCAGTTTATGACCTGAGAGCCTGGCTGGAAGCGACGGATCCAAACTTTTCACGTTAAAATGGCTGAGGGTGCAATAATCTCATAGTCTCTACATAGCGGGATGGTATAGCCTATAGGAGCGTCTTGCTACGCTGCACCATAGCTGGCTAGTGATTCTCTTTTGGCTAGAAATGGCATTAATCATTATCTCCACTGGCGAAAATGGCACTTCACATCACCGAATGCAACGTTCATGTTGTTAGGATACATAAAATCAGGAAGATTACGCGAATTAGGTAGGCAAACGTGGAATAAAATAGGTGCTGGATGTTTTGGTTTTGGTGCTGAATCAGCAAACAGCAAATACGGAGTTCAACTAGACGATCTGGCAACTTTAGGCTGTGTGGAAGCAATTAGGTGCCAGATTCAGATATTAGGGTCGAATAAGCATTTTGGGGCTGATCAGCAATTAGGTGCCAGAAACAGCTTTTTAGGGACCAGAAACAAATATTCCCCCTCAGTAAATCATGAAGCATGAAACTTAAATTGGCCAACTCACAAATAGGCGTGCATGAAAAGTATCGTCATGCAGAGTCTGGCGTTGCACGAATGGTCCAAATCCACAATGAAAGTGAAAGACATAAATCACACATGATAAAACGCTTTCTTCGAAAAGTAGGTACATAAAATACCGAGTTCGCAAAATTACCAAAGCATTTACCGCTCAGTCATCTTTTATAACTGAGTAGATATGGAGCGAGATCAGTTCGATCTGCTAATGGATCCGCTCGACAGGGAATGACAGGTAGTCCTGTCCCTAAAAAGATGCCGGTCATCTTTAGAAAAAGCCCTTATATCGATTTTGACGTTATTCCCATCTACCGCTTCCTATCAATCGCCGATCGGACGGTACTGTGGCCTTGAAACACCTCAACCTTGGATAACAACACTGGAACGACTGTAATCCCACAGCTGATGATCCGGATTAGTTCATGGCACATCAGCTCACTAAAATGACTTAAATGCATAAGACATCGCTTCGTGCCCAGCCGATGTTGATATAGTTTAACAATGCGATGCTGGGCCATGGGCATCAAAGTGTCAAAGTAACATATCTTCCATATGTTTTATGTTAACATTCCATGTTTAAATCACTCTGTTTGAAGTGATATTTGATCGTGGCAGCCAAACCAGCATATTCGTCAACATCTGAGTCTCGTCAGCCGTCTCGATGACGTCTGCTGCACAGACCGGCTCGCCCAGTTTAGTGCACATACGTGGCGTGCCTGCCTCTGTGAACCTATAGTTATCCAGTCTTTATGTGCAAATCGCTCAAAAATAGCCCCGTGTCCTGTTGGACAGTAGAGATGGTGTGGAGATATCCGCTAAAGGCCGCTGCGTGGGACGACATCGTCGTCAATGGCAGGGTGACGTGGAGGGTGTGCTGTCGGCGATTCCAACCAATGAGCAATTCCTGAATGAAATAGCTGGGCTGTAAGTTATAGGCAAATCATGATATTTTTGACTTAAGTTTGTGTCAGGAAGTTAATACAATAATAAAGGTCATGTAACGTGTTGCCCGACTTTGTATGGCAAATTATTGCTACCTACGTGAAATGATCTTAAGGACCTGATGTGGAGTTTATTAATGTAATACCTAAAAGAATGAGGATTTAACCCGGCAGTTGCTGGGGTATTTCGCCACCCACCGTTTGCTGGGGGGGGGGGGGGCGTTAAACGCCCCAGCCGATAACTCGAGAACCAATAGGCGCAGCGAAACGCACGAGGCGGCAAACGAAAGAACGCGACGAGATGAGTACTTTAAAGCTGAATTTTGAGGTCACAGGTCGGGTCAAGGTCAGGTCAAACACCTGAAATCGGGCTTTCAGTAGCATGAACTTCAGGACTTCGCAATGGGCGCCTCTCGTCATAAACTCTGTCAAAACGGTGCACAATCCATCATATAAGGCCTACAAGAGTGTCAGCTCCATGTAGGGGTCAGTCAAGCATAGGTCAGGTCAGGGTCAAGGTCAGGTCAACCGGGTAGGCACAAATCCCCGAAAATCAAAACTGATATTCGCAGCCCGTGACACATGTTTTATGGGTAATTTGGGGCGTAGAACACGATGGTGACATTCATTTTATCATATGTGTACGTGTTTGGCTCAAAAAGTTCAATTTAAGAAATGCATGTATCATGGTCGTCAAGTAGTCACGAGAAATTGCCAAGTTTCAGTTCAAGAATTTGGAAAATGCAGAACGATAATCAATAATCGAAGATAGCCATTTGATTGTTCATGGTATTGGCAGTCTAATGGCGTTTACGGTATGTCTGTATGTATATTCTGTGATTTTATATGATTTTTTGAACATATGCCGTTTTTGGTCGAAAACTCAGAAATCATGACGTCACTAAAACCTCGATATCTCAAAAAATTTTCCGACCGATTTTTTTGAAACTTTGTCACAATAAACTTCAATCAATTCCCTACAGGTACTTAAAATTTGGCGCGCCTGCGGCGCGCCGTTTTTATGATATGGCCCGGCGAAAAAAGTGGGGGCGTTTAACGCCCCCCCTCCCCCCCAGCAACTCGCGGGTTAACTCCACAAGAAATCGTTCGGGTCGGAGCTTTCGAATTGAATTAGCAAAACTTCGTCGTCGTCGGGTTAGGGGGTATCGGTCGCAATTTTGCGACCGATACCCCCAATGTAAATATATCGGTGCGGCGCTGCTGCAGCTGGTGGTCCATGAGAAGTAAAACAAAGCACTTGTACTTGATAGCTTTGTTTATAATGGTAATTTTTGACGTCTGCCTACTCGCCAGGATTATGCACAGGGTGATCCAAAAAAATTGGAACCCCTAACTTAAATTGTCTGTAAGTCAGAAAACTTTCGATTTATTGACAAATTACGAACGCCATTAGAAAGAGCGTTCAATTCTCTATAAAACCAAGTTGATTGAACCTAATTATTATTATAAATATGGCCATAGGCATTTGCCTATAAAATTTGTGTCACGAAACTCAGTGAAACGGTTTTAAACATTATGCGCAAATCAGTGATTGACGGTTTGCTGTTCTCATGTCGCTTGTTGGAGGTTCATGAATAAAAATAGCTCATTCACGTGCCATTGTAAGGAAAGGAAAGGCTGGCGGCCTGAATCTGATGGGACCAGTTGTCCCAGAGACTGCTGGTCCGCGCAGTCGGAGCTGTCCCCAAGCAACTGCAGGCCTGCTTGACTACCACGGAGCTCGCGTTAGGCACATGCTGGGATGAACAGCGGAAGCTAGGACGCGTGTAGGTATCTGTTCTACTGTGTGCTTCTGTGTAAATTTTCAGGTAATAAAATTGAATTTGGATGTGGTATTATTCGCAAAAAGACAATAGATAGAGTGCTAACGGATTTCAGCGCATTGTTGACATTTGGCGATTTCGTTTCATTCAGTTTTCTGACGCTCATTCCAAAAGCTAATAATGTGCCAATGCTTTACAACATACATGCACCAATTTGACGTGATTTTATAGAGGATTTAATGCTCTTTCTAATGGTGTTCGCAATAATACTTTCGGACTTATAAACATTTGCTAGGGGTTCCAAATTTTTTGGATCACCCTGTATATCCAACTGCATAGTCTTTCCGCTTTTTGATGGCCTGTTACTTGTGAGAAATTGCAGTCCCTGGTGTTGCTTTCTTTTCCAGCGTAGGAGCCTCCGGTGTCGCCCTATTGTAGTTGGAACAGCGTGGTATTCTACCGTGTACTGCAGTTGACCTAACAAACTATAACAGCTTTAATAGCGCACTAATTTAGCTGATAAGGTGTTATTAAGATGAGCTTATTCAGTGTTGTGTAAATATGGAAATTAACAAGCACTAGAGGGACAGCATTACGCGCAGCGTAATAAATCAAGTTTCAATAAAATCGGCCCAGTAGCGGCCGAGTTATGGCCAGAATAAATTTGGCGTCTCCTCCTGGCCGGCGGTGCTCTGTTCCGATATTCATTGCCAAAGGTCAGTGACCTTCCGGCTCTGATTTCACTCAGTTTTGCAGCGAAGAATCTGAGCCTAAGGCGCGTGCTCTCTGATCGGCACCGGCCGCGGCCCAAAATCCCGCAGAGATGCGCCCGCCACGTGCAAACCGGCGAGCGCACCCCCACCAAAATTTAATACGACAAACAGATGCACGCGTCCGACTTGCGCCCAAAATTCCACCCCCGTAGCCCGCACCGTTCCCGGGCAATAGCCCGCCAAGCGTGACTGACGCGTTACATACATACATACGTACAGACATTTTGATTTTTATATATGTAAACTAGAGGGACAGCATTACGCGCAGCGTAAAGAGGGACGGCATTACGCGCAGCGTAAGAACCCAAGTTTCAAGTCCACTAAACCAAGTTTCATTGAAATCGGCCCAGTAGCGGCCGAGTTATGGCCAGAACAAATTTGGCGTCTCCTCCTGGCCGGCGGTGCTCTGTTCCGGTATTCATTGCCAAAGGTCAGTGACCTTCCGGCTCTGATTTCCCTCAGTTTTGCAGCGAAGAAACTGAGCCTAAGGCGCGTGCTCTCTGCTCGGCGCCGGCCGCGGCCCAAAATCCCGCAAAGATGCGCCCGCCACGTGCAAACCACCGAACCCACCCCCACCAAAATTTAATACGACAAACAGATGCACGCGTCCGACTTGCACCCAAAATTCCACCCCCGTAGCCCGCACCGTTCCGGAGCAATAGCCCGCCAAGCGTGACTGACGCGTCACATACATACATACATACATACGGACGTTTTGATTTTTATATAAGTGAACTAGAGGGACAGCATTACGCGCAGCGTAATAAATCAATTTTCATTAAAATCGGCCCAGTAACGGCCGAGTTATTGCCAGAATAAATTTGGCGTCTCCTCCTGGCCGGCGGTGCTCTGTTCCGGTATTCATTGCCAAAGGTCAGTGACCTTCCGGCTCTGATTTCGCTCAGTTTGGCAAGCGAAGAAACTGAGGCTAATGCGCGTGCTCTCTGATCGGCGCCGGCCGCGGCCCAAAATCCCGCAAAGATGCGCCCGCCACGTGCAAACCACCGAACCCACCCCCACCAAAATTTAATACGACAAACAGATGCACGCGTCTGACTTATGTCCAAAATTTCACCCCCGTAGCCCGCACCGTTCCGGAGCAATAGCCCGCCAAGCGTGACTGACGCGTTACATACATACATACATACGTACAGACGTTTTGATTTTTATATATGTAAATGTGTTACGGAATACCTTTAACCCGCTCTCACAACATAATTTGTCAGCAGAAGGCAGGTCTCCCGTCTCTGCGGCTACCTTTAATACCCGTTAAATTTCACTGGCGATCCAATTTGCCCCATGCCGAGAGCTGCTATCTCTGTCGTTTCCAGACGTGTTTCCGACAGACGAAATCATCACGTTACGAAACACGAGATACCGACCACGCAACCTTACCACATAACTGCTTGGTATTTATATGGCTAGTTGGCTAGCATTGAGCGGAGACTTTCAAATTGAAGTCATGCTGCTGCCATGCCTCAAGCGTGGATGGTGATGTCTGATGCTTCTTCTTTTTTACTTCTTTTGACTGACTGTAGCAATTCTCAGCCTTTGCATAGAAGAAAATGCGACAAAAAGCTCGGAATTTTCATAGAATCAGCTACAAATCTTAAAGGCGTTCCTATCTGTAATTTCATATCAACTTCTTTCGGAAGAATGGATGCTTTGCTAGATTGTTATGCAGCCTTTCGGTTCCAGCGCTGGGTGCTAAATAAAATGAGATAACAGAACTACGGGATTACAAGCGGTATTGGTAACGGTATCTTGGAACAGGGTTAAAGCTGGCCTCTGCACCCAACAGCGCGACTCCGTGATACGGTGCATCACGTGATGCCACATATGATCGGATAAGAGGTCAGTAACATTTGCACCATATCGTGCGCTGATCTCAAAGGATCAAAGATGCGGCCAACGGTACTGGAGATTTAATATTCAATTTGATGTACTACGAAGAAATCTTCACACGATACATACATTCATGAGTGATAGCTAATCAGACGCAAACTTGTCAGAGTTGGATTCAAACGCCATGCCTGAAAACGCGCAGCATTTCATCCCGGAGCCATTATCACCTTTTCGGGTTTCTCCCTCGCTGTTTATCGCGCGTGTTTCCCGTTCTGATTTTCTCTCTCATCATCGATTCAAATGCATTCCTCCTCCGTCGCGGCCGTACAGCCCTAACAAGCTGTTTGCGTCTGCGAGTCGCCACTGGAGTCGACCTGGGGCGGGGAGATATGCATCTCTAACTCGGGTCACATGGCGATTGCCCCGTGTCTCGCGTCTCACGTCTCCCAGCTCACAACTCTCGTCTCCGAGCTCTCGAGTCTTGAAGCTCCTTCAATCTTGGAGAAAGCTGTGTTGAAATATAAGCGCTATGGGGGATGGGTGGGGAACGTCCCCCGCTGGTGGATAGCGAGGATGAATCACTGCCCATAGGGTGCAGGGCGAGTCAGATCTAGAATTGAGATGTCTTGATACATGGACAAAACGTCTGGTATGATGACACCATGAATCAGACGTATAATAAATGGAATGCATCTAACCGAAATGAGAAATAGCGACGTCAAGATAACGATGAAAGCGAAAATCATAAATGTGATGGATAATAATTAGAAAGGACAGAGCGCATAATAGATGACAAAAATAAAGTATTTTACAGGTTGTGAAACGGCGAGACGAGGCGGTTGGCACCAAAGCTTTCCATGAAAAAATGTCTCGCAATTCAGCGCGGCGCCGAGCGGGTGCTGGGCAAACAAATTATCTCCGAACGAAAGGCGGTCGGGCGTGATTTAACGGTGCTGCGTCCGTCCATAGGTTATCACATCGTGGCTGGAACCGCACTAATGGCCGGCACGACGGCCATCTCGGGACGTTTACGGCGCGGCGCGGCATGATTTGCCGCGGCGCCGGCCGATACGGCACCGGGAGAGCACGGAGTGACCCCGGGTCACCGGTGCCGGGTCAGCTTCGATTGGCCAACGCCGGCCGTGGGACCGAGCTGAGCGGCCACTGCGGTCAGGCCACCGCCAGGTTATTGATGGAGCTAACAGCAGCCCGCCGCTAATGCAACTGATGTATTAACTGTGCGAGCAGTATAATTTGAGCGATATTTATTACTGAAATTGAATTGATTTGACCTTCGGTATGATACGCTCGCTACTTGGAATGCGTAATGCGTTTGGAATATCGGGAACGCTCAGCGCAGACATCTTATTCAAGACACGAACTACTTCACATTGTCCATGAATAACAATGCCCTATTTAGCCTTATTTAGCGGAATAATGGCCAGTGTTCATTAGCATTCTACAATATCTGTATCGTCTCATGTGACAGTTCTGTCACTATAATTGGCTGTCGAACACGAATGTGATTGGCTATCCGTCACCAAAACGTCCAGTGGTGTGTTGTTCCTCCCACGTGACTCATAACAACCTACTGGACTAGTGGGTGACACCACGTGCTTTGTCTCCCCTCAACCGCTCCATGACAGTTATTATGGTGCTGGGGAGAGGAGAGTCTCACGACACGGAATACTGAACTGTCCTGGTAGTGGTGGCGATGGAGCTTTATACCCGGGAGGGTTTTGAGCACTTAAATAGTAACATCAAAAGAATAGCATGCTTCATCGCCTATACATAAATAACAATCAGTGAAATACAATTATTGAAACATAAAAGATAACAATTCATATCCGAAAGAAAGGTAGGGGACAAAAAAAGACACCGAGAAAGAAATATGAATATGTTACAACCGTGACATCGATGAAAGTCGGACTGATCTCATGGCTCTGACTGACTGACTGACTGACTGACTGACTGACTGACTGACTGACTGACTGACTGACTGACTGACTGACTGACTGACTGACTGACTGACTGACTGACTGACTGACTGACTGACTGACTGACTGACTGACTGACTGACTGACTGACTGACTGACTGACTGACTGACTGACTGACTGACTGACTGACTGACTGACTGACTGACTGACTGACTGACTGACTGACTGACTGACTGACTGACTGACTGACTGACTGACTGACTGACTGACTGACTGACTGACTGACTGACTGACTGACTGACTGACTGACTGACTGACTGACTGACTGACTGACTGACTGACTGACTGACTGACTGACTGACTGACCTGTCCGTGCCGGGCGGCGGCGTGCAGCAGAGAATCGTCTCCCTCACCGGGTAGAAGGCGGGACCGGGACGGACACCGGTCTGCCAACCACTGGACCACCTCCAGCCTACCACACTGGAATACACAAAGAGTATTCAGTTAGTTCAGAGAGTTCAGTTAAGCGGGACCGGGACGGACAGTAGTCTGCCAGCTACTGCACCATGGTGCAGTAAACCAAACCAACCACTGTAACCACTGTACCTCAAGTCGACCACACTGGAACACAACGAAACACTTAGAACACCATGACGCCTCAGAAGCACTGAGTATAACAGACCGGAAACTTTCAGAAAACGCCGAACACATATAGGATAGCAGGGCACTCAAGATTGAGGGAGCAATGAGTATCGACTGTGAGCTCTCTGTGGATGATGACCACCGAGCGATTGCGATATAAACACAACTTTTGCTTTAAAAATTAACTTTGGATGAGAACCATTCACGCTCAATAATTGTTTAAAACATTTTTCCGTGATGGTCCGTATAACGAGGCCTTGTTCTCGCCTCCCTGCTGAAACGCCCGCCACCCTTTTTGTCCGTTCAACGACCGGCGCATCTGCTCAAACCGTGTCCCAGTGCCCGATGGAGCGGGAACCGAGCAGACTTCCTGTGCACGCCTGTTTGACTCCGAGTCCGCCGGCCGAGTCGACTGAGTCACGACTCGACTGAGTCACGACTCGGGCGGCGACTGCGGGAGTACACCGCGACTACTGGGTGATCTGCTGTAGCGGCGTGTACTGTGCCGCTGTGATCAGTGTTGTACGAGATGGGAGGCGATGGGCTATAGGCAGCGTGAGAAAGAATGCAGACTTTGCCGAGAGGTTAATTGTTTCCCATGTGAGAGCTGTGATCAATGAATTGTGAGGAAATGAGTTAGGTGTGAATTTTTTCGTGTCTATGATATTCGTTTTCGTTACTGTTCCAGGGGCCGTATTCACGTCGATCATTTTCAGAAGAATGTTCTTAAGTTTGACCTACTTCTTACGTATATTTTTTATTCACGTAAACTCCGTCGATAAAAACTTAAAAAGTGTTGACGTGAATACCAAATTATACTTACCTACGAAAGAAAATCGACTTACGAAGTCGACGTGAATACGGCCCCAGATAAATATAATTATATGACAGAAAGAGAACATTATATACCTGTCGTAAATACATATATTTCAAGTAGGTTTCCTGTAAACAAAGCCATTTATCAACAAAGCAATTACATTTTTTCAAAAGGCATTAAACCTTAATTTTTCAAACTCCTTTCTAGTGTCAAAAATCGACACAAGGTACTCTAACAGCGGCATATGACGTCACATACCTAAGTACACTTCTGATACGCCACGGCTCCTTTGTTTCACACCTGAGTGTTCTTTGCTGACCTTTCCTCTCAAATAATCGTGTTCGCTGGCACCTTCACATGGCATGTCCCGAGTGTTGTTCCCACATGTTGTAAGGATTAGGAGGCGCCACATGACACGAAAAACACGCCAAACATGCATTGCTTATGAATCTGTCCGCCAAGTGTCAATTTGATTTGTAGCTTATCTTGAGCAAGGAAATCCTGTGCCATTTTTCTGAGAACCAGGTTGTTAAGTGGCAGAGAAATACACGGAGGAAATTCACAGCCACGGCGCAAAAGAGCTTCAACACTGCTGTCTACACGATTACTGCAGATTTTGCCACCTGAAAACAACACTTGCATCCCATAGCAGGCACGGTTATGCATAACATTCTTGTACTGGCACTGGTAGCAAAACGATTAAGCAAATCGTCGGAAACGTTCATGCGTTTTTAGGGCACCACAACAAGGTGCCCGCATCGATAGCCAAACGGGTCATGGGACGATTTCATTTAGCGCCTGCGGTACTCACCCTAACTGCTGTCAGGCACGGTGTTAGGCCACGGGAATTCTCCTTCCACAGCAGATCGCTAAGCCCGTGGCAGCACGTGTCTGCCAGCCACGTGAGAGCCTGCACGTGCCCGCACGCGGCCAGCACGTGCGCCACGGTATTCCCGTGCCGGTCGGCTAGGCCCCGTGCCGTGGAGGGATCCAGAGCTGACAGTGCCACGTCCTGTGGAAAATGGAAGGTCGGGATCAGCTAAAGCGGACTGTGGTGACGAGCATAATTCCAGCGCTAGACCGTGTTTTGACAGAGAAATTCAGCATGGTGAGATAATCCTATGACGTATTACACCGCTGAATGTCAGAGGTGATTTCGCCGTGTTCTATTTGCACAATGAGCTCAACGTGTGGTTGTTGATCGTAATGTGCCATGACGGCCGTATGAGTCACGGGTAACGATTGGAATCAGGCACGATTAACATCAAACGGCATTGTTACAGCCGCACATGAAAACTTGTCCTGCCCTGTCGACAACGTTTTCCCGGTATCTTTATGATTTACGCCATCCGGCATTGAGCTATTCTTGCACACATTGATAAACTGTGCGAACTGATGTCGATTTCACCTGACCGCGGCCCGTGCGTGTCTCCTACTCACCAGTTTGCCGACGGTCCCCTCTCTGGCGAGGTCAAACAGGGCCGTGACCCGGTGGGCTGACCTCTGCGCGCTGCCGTCATGATCGGAGGGGGGCGGCGCCGGCCTCCGGCCGCGCCCCCTGCTGCGCCGAGGTAGGTTGAGTCGGGTCAGGTCAGGTCGTCTGCTGGGGACAGGTGGGGGTGGGCTGCGCGCTGCAGCCTCTAGGAGACGTGCAATAGCTGCCTCGCAGCCCAGGGGAGCCGAGCCCTGCCAGGGTATCTGACCAGCCTCGTGACGTGGCTCCAGCTGACCATGGTCTGACTGACGCTGTTCCGACTGACGCGGCACATTCTGTGGACTTTGTGAGTCCTGTAGGACATCCGCTCTCTCGTCCTGACCCAGCTCTGTGTCGTGTCCAGTGGTTTCCCCCTCCCCCGCGGCCCGCTGACAGATCACCGACTCCGTGTCGATTGGTGTAGTGCACCCGCTGCGCATTCCGCCAGTCAGCCTACGCTGTGTGGGCGCGTCTCGGAGCTTTTCACTGAATATCTGACCGCCATTACCGGTGTGGGACAGACCGTTCTGATCGATCACCCCCTCGTCACTGGGTCTCCGCCTCTGGTCGACAGCTGAGGGCGGCCGAACTCGCTCCCCGGACCCCGATCCGGACAAGGGACCGTTCAGCTCCGGTGAGATGCCGTTCACCTCACCGGGCGCGGGACGGGCCCTCTCACCTGCTGACTGTCTCACAGGGTGAGCAGCGCCGCTCACCTCGTCCACCATCTCTCTCACCAGCTCGCCGGCCGCGAGGTGAGATCTCTCGGCGTGCGGACTTGGGATGAGATCGCCATTCGGAGTTCGAACTCTGCCGCTATTTGGGCTTTGAACTCGAACACGATTTGGGCTTCGAACTCTCTCGCTATTCGGACTTTGAACCCTTTCGCCAATCGGACTTCGAGCCTGAGGGCTTCTCATTCTCTCGTGGGGTGGACTTCTAACCCTTTCACCATTTGGACTTCGAAACCTCTCACCATTGGGACTTCTAACCCTCTCACCATTCGGACTTCTAACCCTCTCACCATTCGGGCTTCTCATCCTCTCACCGGGCGGACTTCTAACCCTCTCTCTCACCGTCTCCCGAACCAGCTGCCCAAGCGGACCGCTTTGCTCCGTTCTTGCCATTTCGCTCAGCGTTTCAATGATGCTGGTGGCTCGGACAGTTGGCGTTCCCATCGAGGAGGTAGCTGAGGCAGCTGAGACAGCGGAGACAGCTGAGGCGGCGGAGACAGCTGAGGCAGCGGAAGAGGAGACAGACGAGGCAGCCAGGCTGGCCCGGCCGGGGAAGTCGTAGAGCTGTTCCAGTGCCGCCAGCTCTCGTTCGTCCAGGGTGTACTCCTCGATGACGGGAAGCGGTCCCAGGCGGGGTACGCTGGAAGGCTGTGAGGGGAAGGGGGACAGATGATCAGAAAGACGGAAAATTAAGCGCCAGTAATGAGTATATAACAATCACGCCAGTAATACCTGGCACGTATTACGCCTTAGGTACCGACTGTTACGGCCATGGTAGAGGGGAAGACACACCGAAGCTGGTGAGGTATAAGCTAGAAAGTTCCTGACAGGACAATTTGTCTTTAAAACGTTTAAGCGCTCCATCATTTTATCAAACATGTCCATTATTCTCGCAATCGGTGAGATTATCACGAATACACAAGGCGGCCTCTCGACTGATGTCTATTATGGCTAACAAAACTGTCGAGGGAAAGTAAAACGGCTTTGATGTGTTAATTACCGAGTGACAAAACATCGTGGCAGTTTGCAGTAAGAGCTTTATTAATCAATTCCGCGACAAGGCTATTTGATTGCCACTTCCGTTTTACTGCTCAGTGCCGTCATTGTCCATTTGTTAATGGGCAGCAAACCTAGCGCCTAGCTGAAGGAAAAACTTCTGTGGATTATAATGTTTCACTCTCATATTGTCATCGACATTCATGACATGCGGCGTTGCTTTCAACGCAACAATAAATTTCCATTGTGCAAGGTATAAGAAACTGTGAACAACCACGCGGGCACGCTCCAGCAGTCAGGGTAATCATCGCGGGGAATCATACTATTATCCTGATCCGCAGTATTCACAATCATTGCAGGCCGAACAGAGGAAGTAAACCAGCTGTAAAACCCCGGCATTACTCACCCTACTTCTGATCATCTTCGATGTCTCCCGGAATCCACGATGACTTGGAATCACCACCTAGTTCCCGTCGTCTCTCCGATCTGACACCCAGCGTCGACCGCAAGTGACCTCGGGTGACCTCGGTGACCTCCCGCGGCCCCTGTTGACCCGTGCGGTCAGCAGCCGGCGGCGTCACCCAAGTCACCGTCGCCGCCGGCGGAAGAGCGTCGCCGCGGTTCCTTTCACCTGCGGGGAGCGAGAGTCGGTTAGCGCATATGCGGTTCAGCGGCAACGGCGCAGCTTGCTCGGTAAAAACTACCGGCTCCGGGTCAACCGTCGTGATAAAAATCATGCCGACTGTGCGTTAGCCCACTTGTAAGTACCGAGAGTTTTGCCTGCAAACTGGCAGCCTCGGACGTACTGCAGAGCTAAAAAAGAAATCTGAAATTATTCCAACATCTCTGAGGTGTCGAGCTGTGGAACTGCGACATGACAGGGCGGCAATTAGTATGCAAATCTGCCAACCGCAGGATCGCCCAGCGGCGAGTCTGGCCTGCTGGTTTCGTATATCGTATGAATAGATGCTGGACAGTAAGAACACTGAAAAAAGGTGGGTGGCGTCCATGATCACAGCGGTCCAGAATGGCTTTAGATAATTGCTGTATGAACATGTGTAGTTGAAATCAATATTTATGTTGCAAACTACAAAGTGAGTTTACAACTAAAATATTTATTGATAAAATGGAATAATGGATAGAGTCTTGTATTATTAGTTTACGCCCAACTTTTGATTTAATTATTAAAACATCCTTTGTTTCCGTTGTGATATGCGGTTACTGCTGCCACATTTGGTTAATTTTAATGTTATTTTCCAGTATTATTACCTATATCATTGTTAAGCCACAAGAACAGCTTGTGGTTTGGATCACACCTAAAAAAATGTTCGTTGCCGACCTGTGCGTTTGTCAAAAGATTGATGCGTAATGCCTTTCTGATCACGGCACCAAATTTCCTATTTTTGCTAAGCCGCCCAATTATCCGCGACATTGCGTGACTGTCGTGGGGTGCTGCGACTCAATATGACAGTTGTAATTAGTGACAGGCGAGACAGCAAACAGCTGTTCAGACACGTTCGATCCACACTAGCTCGCGTGATGTCTTCAGACAGGGAATTTGGCAGTGATAGATGACCTAATACAGGAATGTTTGCCGCATGTAGCTGGATATTATCAAGATGATCAACATACAACGTGGGAGCACGACATTTTTACTGCCGGCATTTATTGTGATAATACAAGATCATATTTTTGCACTAGAGAGTTACGAACACAATTCTTCTTCTTGGGTTATGTTCCTTGGAAGAGCTTGTAGAGGTCCCAACTTCTTACCAATTGAACGCTTTGCACCGTTCGCAACACGTTCATACATTTATTCGTCAATGTATACAGCTGCCTTTGGTGCTTGGCTTGCGTGGCAAGAAGAAAAGATAGCATGTTTTTTCCTCCCCGCCATGCACTTTCTTACCTAACAACAGTCTTAATTGGACAGAAATTTGGAGAAACGTCAGACATGTCAGTTTTCAGGTTTAGTTGTGATGTGCTGAAAAATGCCGGGCCTTCCCGTCACGTGCAGCACAATAGTATCCAATCGGAACACGGGTGCCTGGGTTACGGTTACGAACACTCAAGGGGTTTGTCAAAAAGTCAGATATTTTGTAGATCGGGCGATGTATAAAACCACTGCATAGGGCATTGTCCTACCTCAAAGGTTGGCGGCAGTATATCTCGGCAGTTTTTGTGCGATATTTTTGTGCAGAATCCATTGTACATTCGTCCAGTGCTTTGAATGAAGTGCACGTTGTTATCTAACCGCATTGCTATTATTTTGCCAGAGCACGGCTCCTTTCAAAGCTTCGAAAAAATAAATTTGGCGTGAGGATTATGATATATTCGTGCATGATAGTATAACTGTAATTTTACTGGTGGAAGCACGAAAATGAGAAAAAGAGAGCATATAAGCACATGAAAAGGATGAAGCAAAATTCCCAGTTGCTTAGTGGTACGTTGCATGTACTCGTAAATTAGGCATATTGTGGCTGTACAGTGTACACAGTACGTTTGGGCGAAATATATAGCGTTAGTTGCAAAGTTTGTTGAGGTTTGTTGACGCACCGAGCTATGAGAAAACGACCTGCATTACCTGTAAATATGTACTTTGCAATTCTTATGGATTCCGCCCTCCCCCCTCCCCCCGAGCCAGTCTCGACAGAATGTTACGAAAGTTACGCACCTGGCCAACCCACTCTCAGATCTCACAGCATATAATCAAGCAGCGATCCGGCACCCCCGGGTCGCATACCACGTCCATACATCCCAGCCTTGCACAGACTGCCAACAGCCCCGGGGCGTGTATCCACGGAGCGCTCTGCAATCTGTGCCCAACGGGGCACCGCTAACATCCCGTACCCACGCACCTACACCCCTGCACCCGGCACCCAGGGCTGTCTCGCACCAAGCTGCTCTGAATGGAATGTGTGCCGGGAGTCTGACGCACCTCTGCGGGGTGCAAACGACCCTCTCGCACGGTATCAGTCCCCGTGGGGCAGGGGACCATCGCCGAGGTATTTCCAACGATCGTCGAATCACGCTGGGGAATCGCCGAGCCAGCCAAGTGATCGCCTAGTCTCACTTCTGAGCGGTGGTCAGGCTACGAGTATCGTCAGATTTCAGAATAAGGCCTCAAGAACGTCTACCTACAGCCGCCACCGCCACCACACGCTGGTGAGCCCTCAGACAGTGCGGTGCGGCCACTCGGCAGCTTTGTGGCCTCTCCGGCCAGGCCAGGGTTATCACGAGATGAGCCCGCTCTAATCAGGCCGACCGACCGCCGGCCGAGCCGCCCGGATATGGCGCTGTCGTGAGGGCCGCCGACGGCCCGTGACGTCATGCACGGGGTTTGTTAACATACCAGACTGACCCGCATAAAAATGGCCAAGGAGCGCCATTTTTGTGCTGTATGAGCCAAGGTGTTTGGCTGTTACGGTATCTGCAAAACGGACGCACGCGACGCAAACAGCACTCTTCGTGGCAGAGCGGATAGGACAAAGCACCCATGGCTGCAATGGCTATAGGTTGATTTCAAACTTTTTTACGGCATCTGTTATTGCATTGAATTGTTTCATGTAGTGTTCAAGGGGAAGGACCAGCTCGTGCACTATTGCGGCTGGATCAAAGGAACGAAACCGTGCAGAGAGGCGCTGCAATTTTAGACAAAGAAGTAAACTGACTAATTTGCGCCTATAAAACGAGTACTGCCCGAGCCATGTGGCTCCCGTGGCTGCATATTACACATATTAGGGTGAGGCCACTTCAGTTGGTAGCGAGGATGGACGAATGTGCACAGTCCTGGAGCTTGAGAGGCCGACTATAAAACAGCTGGCATGGGGAGAGGCACGTCACTCATTAGAAGCCAACGCAAGGTTATCACGGAACGATGGACCGACATCACTATACCGTCACCGCCACTGCTGCTGTCAGACTGTCAGGCTGTAAGGCCAACTATCAGGCTGTCACTGTCATCATCATCGCCATTACCAACGTCACTGTCACCGCTATCGTCAGCTTCAAACGTTTAAACCAACTTTCCTCCCCATTCACTGCTCAACATCCCCAACGGAAAGGCAAGCAGTCCATGGGAAGCACGCTGGTCGCCGGGGTGGTCCTGCCCTAAAATAGCGCATCATCCTTGACCAACCGACAATGCGAGACCCCGGGGTCAGCTGACCATTAGAGGGAGGGGAAGACGCCCGCTGTTCCTGGCTCCCCGCGCCTCAATGAAGTTACGTGATGGGGCCGCGGGGAGGGATGGAAGGAGGCAAACCGCAGCAGCTGCTTTTTGGTCACGCTCGACCTCAGCCGTGACGATCGTATGTAGATCGTGACGTGACGAGCGGCAGCTGCGGGGAACTAAAGGATATACCGTGGAAGGGCCGGGGCCGGGGAACGGGGCACGATAAGCAGTAGTTAGTATCAGTACATAGTGTCGTGAGTCCAGCACGGTAAAATTAGGCCTATTACCGCGGACAGCGATACAGAGCGTCCATGACGACAGGCGATCGTATCTGGGACAGTGGACCGGACAATGAATGTTTCAGAGATACGCATCATTTTGCGGACTCTTTCAATAATTTTTTTTTTAGTTCCGCTGAACGGGAAAGACGACACTTAAAAAGTGAGGAGCTACATTACCTGACATTTGAATACGATGATCAATTTATGCATAATAAAGTGATAAAATCATATTCTTCATTTAAAGCAATCGCCTGTAGATTTAGACGCCAACCACTTGCTTTTATCATTCGAATAAAACAGAATGAGATAGGCATGGCCGTAGGAATTATAAATAAAAAGTGATAGTATCAGTATATTTAAAATCAGTCGTAGCTATTTACCTGTACACATATTCCAGTTAGAGGTCACAGCTCTTTCACTGCTCGGAATTAATTTGTATTGTGCAGTGAACCGTAATCAAAGCTACTTGTCCTAGTTGCTGCGATGCCACTACAAAGAACACCTAAGTGTGCATTATGAGTCGGTACTAAGAATTGCAAACTTTCTACCATAAACAACAACAAGTTATTTCTCAGGATACCGTGAATGATGATCGAGGAGCTCTAAGCGGGAATCATCTTGCCAGCTTATTCACTCACATTGCACTAAGCTCGTCACCTTCCCTACAAAGCCTTTCAAGGATGTGACCTGATTTATCCGCCAGTGACCGGCGGCATCCTGGCCTTCCGACGTGCCACCCCGCCACGGTCACCGAGTCTCCGGCGCCGATCACCAATCAGTCGACCGTCACCGTTACAGACATACCACCCACACCAATCGGTAAAAACGCGCCCGGTCGGTGCAGCTCGCCCGGTCGGCCGGCGTTCCCAGGCCTTGGTGGCGTGAGAGAGCGCAGTCGGACCGACCGTAACTCTGTGTTTCCTGTGAGCCGAGCGGCGTGCACCTCTGACCTATCGATGGACGACGTTTCCGAGCGGTCAGGAGAGGAGGGCGAGCCTCTCGGAGCGGTGCCGAGGCCGTGTGCCGTACCCGCTCGGACGAGTACGGCGAGGTGGCGTGTCCGTGACCAGTTGCAGGGCGCGATGGGCGCCGGTCAGGACGACCGAGTCCGTTTCATGTTCGACCGTTGTAGCACTCGTAAAGCGTGGCACGGCCGGGGTGCGCCAAGTGATTTGTTTCAGGAATGGACCGTGGGATATGCCGGGCGTGAGGCTGTGTTCGGAGTGATTTGTGATTTGCTGTGCTCGATTGATAGTTCGTGGCAATGACTGAGAGTCATTTGAGGTGGCCAATTAACCCGCGCCGGACTAGGGGTTGATGCACTCCACTTAGGAGTTTCGGCGAACCAGAAGAAATGACGATGCGTTCCATCTTGGCATACTTTATGGGCCATCAGACATCATCTTTACATAAATTCTTCTATTGCTGACCTCGTATTTAGGATAGACAAAACAATGCTTTCAATATTCTTAAATCTATGAAATTGATGTGGGTCTCACTCTGATCTGAAACCATACACTGTTTTCTACAAAATAATGCATATCTAACGATGGGTTATAACTAATTAAAAGGCATCTTGCAACCTGCAGGTGGTGCTCCTTTCAGGCACGCAGCCAGGATTTTGCTCAGAGAGGGGCCACAGGTCGCGGCCATAGTGTCGTACCCCCTCCAAAAAGGAAAACTCCTCTGATTTGGCCCACTATTTTTGGGTGTGTGGTGCAGCTGTTCTTATTATTTTATCTTTCATTAAATTTTATTTCGTTTTCGCCTTCGGGAGGGGGGCATGGCCCCCGTGCCCCCCCCCCCCCTGGCTACGTCCCTGGCTACTTTCCGTGTCGGCAATAGGTGTAGAAAACCTACCTCATTTTCTCATAATATGTAATCAGGCATACATTCGGCTTCAGGTCAGGCTGAACTGAAAATTCAGAGATCATAGTTATTCCCATGATTTTTTTTTTTAAAGATGCAGATGAGTCAAGGTTTCTCAAGTCAAGTCTTGGGAAAAATATGACAGGGTCACACCAGAGTTGCATTGATCGCATGTGTTTTGAAATACCAGAACTTGAGTTAGCCAATAAATCCATTGCATGGTGGGATGCACTCGTTCTTTGAGTACAGTTTATTGGTGAAACGACATTGCATTACGATAAATGTTTCCGTGGCTTCCCTTCTACTGATCATTAGTAGCAGTCACTCGAGTCTTCATCACCATATTTCACAACTTACTATACATCGTAGATATTCATTTTCACTTGACACAAATTTTCGCTTTTATAGTGCGCCAGCGAGGCTCCGGATGTCACTTGAACGTTATTTCGGGTACAGTACAAGTCAAACGAGTCATAAATCGGGTTGAACAAACCTCAATTGTGTCCCGCCCACTTCACCATCGCAAATTGCTGACTACCCGCGCCCCTGACGCCCATTGCGCTCGGCCCGCGCGTTTATTTGACGGGCCGTATGCAGATGGTCGGCTCGGGAAAGTACGCGAGGTCACCGCGGGGACTGCCGGGTCAGTATGCCACAGTCACACGGTCATTACCGACAGGACCCGACCTGTCAATCAGTGCGAGGGACGGACGCCCGGCACCGGGCCGGCCCAGCCCGGGTCACATGTCAATTGGGCCGTAATGGCGATGGGCGTGCGTCGATGTCGCTCATTTGAATGTGTTTGAGACATATCGTTGTCAAAATAAGGGCAGATTGACATGTTAACCTGGTGCCTTACTGGTATGAATGGACATTGTTTGGCCAGCGATTAGGCAGATTATGCGGACATAACAGGATGCTGCTTGGAAGTCTGTAAAAACATACTTAAAAACAATGCGCTGAATTTTAAATAGACACATGCTTGATTGCTTATCATCAGAGATAGCAATGTAAAATGACATTGTTTATCCGTGTGTAAGCTATGCAGTTTACAAAGCGTCCATTACAAGAAATGCACTGCGAAAAACGATGTTTATCGTTGCCCGTTGGTTTTATTTTGTTTTCATGCCCTTCTTGTAATGCTTTTATGATTTACCTTTCACTTGATAGTACGAGCAAGGCATTGTTTCTTACATCCATGCTGGTAGATCTATGCTGTAGATAAATGTTCGTAGATGGTAGATCTATCCATACTGTAATATGAATTGACTTAAAAAGTACAAGATTCTGGGTTAGCTGTTTACGATGAGAGTCGTACCCTAGTAAAGTATATATCCCGAAGCCTTGCGCACATTTTTATGTCGCAGCCATATATGTATACCAAGTGTATACACTTTAAAATATAACTATAGATATATAGAATATAATTATATCCAGCGAGGTTAGGTGCCCTTGTTATCGCCTGTTGTTTACGTTACATCTGGTTCCTAATCATTGCTGTTTTCTTTTGAAAAAGAGAATTTACATGTTCTTCTCAAATTATATTGTGGCCTCCATTTCTTGGGTAAGTATAACAATATCCATACTGTTTTATAAGTCAGCAGAGATTCGCTTCAACGCTATCCAGCGCTATACTCTAGGTGCCATTTCGACGTAAACATGCTAATAAATTGTCAAAGTCTAAACCCATTGCAACGGACATAAACACCCTTCAAGCCAGCACATCCGCCGGTATGCTCCTGTCTAAACATCTCCACATATACATATATACACTAGCTGACAGACACACCCACAAGTACCGGCATTCAGGCCGGCTCTCTCAGCAGCCAAGCCTCCCTTCAGTCAGCCCTGGAATGTGTGCTGTCGATGCCGCCTTCCGACAGCTCCCGGTCATTAGTGCACATTCCCGGTGCACCGGCTCCTCTCCCAGTGTGCACAGTGCACAGTGCAGTGCACAGTGGCCTTGACTGACGGTGAAACAGGGACGCCCCGAGCGCAGGGAGATGGGAGTACCGGAGAATGAATCAGCCACCAGATATTCGATTCGGGGAGAGAGGGAGAGTGAGGGAAGGAGAGCAAATATCCGGCTTTGATGCCAAGAAGGTTTACAAGTACGGATTAGGGCTCGTTAGCAAGCCTGTTTGACAAAGCCTCAACCAGGTATTTCATATTCTTACACAAATTGGCAGTAATTCATAATTGAAATTGGAACAATGTCTTCTTCTCTTACGTGAGAGAGCAAAAGGCAAGCTAATATAGCTACGAGCTGTCTGAGCAACCAGTCTTGGTCAAAAGAGTTTCAAGATTTTATTCTTACACCACCGCATTTATTGGTGTTTTTCACTGGAGAGCTAAATCAAAGCTGTCAAGGTTATTATTGCTACAAAAGTTGCTTTCATTCTGTTTCTGTTATGATCTAAAAACTGTTAAGCGCTGCTATACTATTTTAATTTTCTATCTCTCGATATTTGACATCCATGTCTTCTCGGCCCATTTCAGTTTTATTAGCCAACAACTAACAATAGCAAGCCGAGTTTAATTATTTTTTATCGATTCTTCTCTATGAAATAAAATGAATCCGTTATAAAAATGAACATCGAATATTTAAGTGGCATTTTCCACGTTTCATTGAACCGTTGAACAAATCTTTCGTTTAGCAATATCGTCCGTGTCATATAAACATGTGCATGATATTCGCCCGAAAACAAGCGATAGCAGGGACTATATACGCCCTGATTCTCGGCTTACCTGTTGCAATTGTCACCTGGGGTGTGTGTCACACCAGTCTGTGAAGACTTGCTCTTGACGGGCTCAGTTATTTCCGCGTCAAGCGCCAACGCTTCACACACCTCACTATCACCAAGTCAATTGTTTCCGGACCTCTCCCCACTGAACTGTCTACATGATCACGACTTCACACCACTGGATCGTCACCACTTCTACCCCAAGCACAGTCAGCGTGGCGTAGTGCCCTCCGCGCCCCTACCCACGTCATCCCCCGGCGGCCGCCCGTCACCCACTGCCGTCCCTTGCCGCGCCGCTGCCGCCGCTGCCGCCCGCCGCCGCCAGCTGCCGCGCAGCTGTCCAGAGCCGCCAACCAGCTGACTAGGCCGCCTCTCACCAGCTGAGCGCCGCAGGCTAACGAGGGGGGGGGGGGGCATTCAGGGGAGCCACCATTCCTTATGAAGATAATTTATTTGAATCTGAGCGCTTATTCATTAAAACCTGGCCATCGCCCGCCTAAAGAGAGACAAAAGACCCCACTAAAGTTATCAACTTTGGCATACCCTAGGAACTTGAAAAAAATCTGATGACGACAGCTTAAAGTTCCAGTGGCTCATGACCATGCTACTGCTTTTAGATAACAAAATAGGTGTTCATGCATAATGATTCAATTTTAAAAATTTAGCAGAATTGGAATGGAACAGCTTCGTCTTTCGCAGACAGCGTGACAACGATGACATGCAGCATGCCGCAAAATTTTGCATGCTCTATGTGGCATCTTTTTAATACTCATAGAGAAAATTTCAAGTCCCAGCGACCTCAGCTTTGGTCACCGACTCACCAGGCTAAGAAAACCAGTACATTGTTGCGGCTTCTCTGGATTGTTCTTTAGTTTGCTATAAAACTCAGAGTTTTGTACCCATTTCATTCAAGACTGCGGGGCTGTGCTTGCTGCTTAGCTTATCGAGTTTCATATGCCATTATGTACATGTTATGCATGCATGTTTCGCATTCTTCAATTTCGTTGATCTGAGTTCATCTAGAGGTCATGATGTCGTAACGTTGAAAATAAGGAAATGTTTTCAAGTAGCTTCAATTCATAAAGCATTGGAGTGTCTGCTCTATTTGGTCGCTTTTGTGGTGTTAGCCTTCATTTTTAACGATATGTATGTACATACAAGACTAAGTCTTCTTTGCGCGGTGCAAGAACGTAAGGGGGTTGGGTCAACTGACGTCAAATGGGGTCAAAAACCTGGCACACACTATGGAAAGAGCTGATTTAGAAATGATGCATAGGACATTGTGCTTCTCTTGATCCGTCAAGTTGATTGATATGAAACATAACATTTAGTTGCAATTAATTAAAAACTTAATCCTCGGTCCTCGACGGCTTTTTCAACGCGAGAAAATGCCAGCGATAATAGCAAGACTGACTACTGAGGATATGCTGGGCCACGGGACAGGTCACGGAGCAGGTCACAGGGGTAGGTCACGAGACAGGGCACAGTTTAAGGCATAGTCTATAAGGGCATTCAGGGGCGGATCCAGGAAAACTACAAGGGGAGGGTCATGAATCGAAGTGGTGCCCCTACCTATACCCAAAATTAAAAACTCAACGGATTTCGTCCACTTCATTTTGGTGGTGCCCCCTTTTTCAGTTTTTTTTCTTTTTACTTTTTATTTTTAGTCAGTATCTTAACTCTTAGCCACAACCACATTTACCAATTGTAAGCAAGTATATATGAATGTGCTATGTGTATATATGTTGTGGACGCTGAGTAGTGAGTACTTACCAGGAACGTTATCAGGTAAGCAAATCGTTGTCAGTCCGACGAACTTGACCCTGGCGTCTAAAGGGTCTGTCCTTGACACTTCAGGCTTGTCAGGGGCACCAAAGTCCTTCCAGGGACACCACAAACCTGTCAGGGGCATCTACGGCCTTGTAGGGGCGCCACAGGCCCGCCAGGGGCACCACAGGCCTGCCAGGAAGCAGGGGCACCACAGGTCTAGCAAGTATACACGACAGGCCTGTCAGGGGCACAACGGGCCTCTTGGGCCCATGAGCACCCCTAGGGGCAGGGGCACCACAGTCCTTCCAGGGGCACCGCAGGTCTGTGAGGGGCACCAGCGGCCTAGCAGGGGCACCAGTCAACACAGGCCTGCCAGGGGCACCACAGACCTGCCAGGGGCACCAGAGACCTGCCAGGGGCACCAGAGGTCTGCCAGGGGCACCACCGGCCTCGCAGGGGCACCTTGGGCCTGTCAGGGGCACCACGGGCCTGCCGAGGGACACTTCAGACTTTTCAGGGGCACCAGTCCTCTCCGGGCGCAGGGGTACCAGCGGCCTAGCAAGGGCACCAGAGGCCTGCCAGGGGCACCAGCGGTCTAGCAAGGGCACCAGAGGCCTGCCAGGGGCACCTCAGGCTTGTCAGGGCCCAGGGACACCACAGTCCTTCCAAGGGCACCGCAAGCCTGTCAGGGGCACCAGAGGCCTGCCAGGGGCACCACAGGCCTAGCAAGGGCACCACTGGCCTGTCAGGGGCACCTCAGGCTTGTCATGGCCAAGGGGCACCACAGTTATTCCAGGGGCATTACAAGCCTGTCAGGGGCACCAGAGGCCTAGCAAGGGCACCACAGGCCTGCCATGGACACCACAGGCCTGCCATGGACACCACAGGCCTTGCAGGGGCGCCTCAGGCCTGTCAGGGGCACCACGTGCCTGCCGGGGACACTTCAGGCTTGTCAGGGGCGTTACAGTCCTGTCAGGGCCCAGGGGCACCAGGCCCGTGGTGTCCCTGCTAGGCCTGTGGTGCCCCTGGCGGTCCTGTGGTGCCCCTGTCAGGACTGTGATACCCCTGATAGGCCGGTGGTGCCCCTGGCAGGTCTTTGGGCCCCCGGGCCTCAAGGGGGGGCCATGACCCATGTGACCCCCCCCCCTTGGATCCGCCACTGACTGGGCATTTGATCTTTTCCGGGCGGGGGAAGATTAACTGTTCTTGCCACGAATGGTTCATTACGATTTATCCTCAGTGTCTTTTGCCAATGGATCTTTCGATTCGGTGTGTAAGAAAAGGAGATCTTTTCTTTAGCGGGCTACTGAAAAACCAAGCAACGAAGGAGCGAGCCGTCAGCCGCGAGCTTTTTTCTGGAACACGCTATCGAGGTGTTCAATGCGATATCGAAACTTTCCACGCGAGCACTATATTTGTGAGACGTAGTGGCCTAATGGTCGAATCAGCTAGGTGAAGTGGAAAAGAGACTCCACTCAAACTAGGACGCAATAAATACATTTACATACATGCATTGAAATGTCATGCATCATCTTCGTTGTAATTAATAGGTACAGTAACAAAGAGAAGTAGGTACTCACAACTTTCGTCACATAGGTGGCACAAATAATAGGGAATTATAAGTTGACATTAGTCTGTTGTCCTTCGTGTGTTTTGACCAATAAACAAACAATTAAAATGATCTATTTTCTTTCGTTAGTCGTCGTCTGTCGCTGCTAGGCGCAAAACCAGCGTCACTGCTCATTTATCAATATGCTTGTAGCACGTTCGCTATTCTCACCTGCTTCGACATCAAAATGGTGCTTCGGTATGCTTTTCATGACTGTAACAGGTGGCGAGACGTTCGCTGCCCTGTTATGTGAGACGGTGTCATCTGAAGCCGAGTGAACGAGCGCGACCCTGTGCCCCCGGCCCCATCCCTGCCCTCCCCTCTCCACCCCCACTCAGTTTACTCCGCGCCGCCGACAAGCGACAGCCCCGGGGGGTGGGTGGGGTGGGGTGTGAGGGGAGCGAGGGGGGCAGCTTCACTGACGCCCCCGAGCGTCCGAGACGCGTCGTCGTCTCAGCCAATCAGCGCCCGGCTCAGCTGACAGACGCGGAAGCGCGCCATGTGGCGCATTGTTTTGCATCAGTTTTGAAATGTCGCGTGTTATGTTGGTCGCGCGTGGTGGTTATCTCGGGAGTGCTCAGTGATTTGAGAGAAAAGTGTCGAAAATTGTGAAAACGTGCCGTGATAGGTGTGGGTGATTGTGATGCAGGACGTCGAGTGGTGTCAAAAGTGAAAACTAAACTCAAACTCGGTGATACCTACTCGCGAAAAAGAACGATGGGAGGTTGAGGTCGCTGCCCTGCAGGGGCGGAGAATTGTCATAATCTCAGGGGGTGCTTTTCTAGCATCTGGCGAATGGAAGCTTCAAATTCTTGCGTAGAAAAGCATGTGTATGTAGGTACGTTTTCCAAGCAGCATCACTCTCCTCGCGGCTTACACAAAGCAGTTTGTGTCTCAGACGTAAATTAAGCACCCCTGGAGCACTATTGGACGGTGACTTGAATTTCAGGGGGTGCTCGAGCACCCCCTAAACCCCTAATTCTCCACCCCTGCTGCCCTGCGACTTTGACTTCAACTTGGATTATGACCTACGCCTGGCCAGCACACTGCGTGATCGATGGTCAGATGATATGCTTCTGCAATTCGAAGGCTTTTTCATCAACCAGTGATCACCAGAGACCAACTGCATCCAGATGAAGACTTCGAACGGTGATGTACCGCACTGATCTTTCTAGTTTTAGTTTTTTTTGTTAGTTTTAGTTACCTTCTTTACTGCATGTCAATTGCCATCACAATATAGGTATATTGCTTATAATGCTTTTTTATATTGACTGAACTGGCCTCTAACATGTCCCTGAGGAGAGGATTTTTTTCCTGTTCGAGGATGATGTCAGCCGTCACCTCTCATTTCACCGTTCGCCTCATCACCGTTCGCCTCTCATTTCACTCATCGGAGGGCTGTCCCACCACGCGCACGCCGGTGTTCACGGGCACCGCACACTGCTGCGTGCGGTGTGTGCGGTGCGTCCAGCAGGCGTGGGGGTAGGGGATGGGTAGGCGGTTCTGACGTCACGGCTGCGTGCGGCTGACGGTCCGCTGTGGCCAGTCCCGACCGGCCACAGCGGTCGCTGTGTGCGGTAACGGAAGGCTGACGTAGGGACGCAGTGGGCGGAGCTTGGAGGCTGTGTGCGGTGGGCCCGTGAACAGCCCTCAGGTCTCTCACAATCACGAGTTGAGGTTTTGAGTCCAACCGAGTTGTAGGATCCTGATCCGCTCGTTTGTTTTGGTTTGAGGGGACTCGGCAGCTTTACTTATCATTGGACCCGAACGGCTTTACATCCTTACTACGGCACAGAGGATCTTCACTTTCCAGCCCTGACCCGACGTAAAGCGAAAAATGCCATATTTTGTTATCACTCAGGAGTCAGGCTTCAGTTTGTGTCGTCAATGGTC